GTTTAATGAGCATCTTTCTCACATGATATTGTTAGTTTTGCTGTAGCAGCTACAGTGTTCTTATTTGTTACTTCCAGTCGGGCAAATAGAAAATGCAGTGGGGTTTTGTGATATTTGTATATGTGGAAATAGTTGTGTTCACCAGAGATTTTTTAAAAATGTTTATTTTATATATAGAGATAGATGCTGTATGGGATAATTACAGATGTCTGAAGTGTGTATTTGCAATCCAGGTTTCATGCTTTAGTTTTTGCTTGATAGAGATTTGGATGTAGATTTCCTCATAGAACTATAACATCCATGTAAACATATGATATTACAGATTACCAGATGTAAAACTGTGTGCCATGCCTTTGGCATCTGCACATAGATTACTGATCAATTCCCATAGATAGTGGGCACCATTAAATTCAACATTCCAAACTCCAGGTGCTCACAGTAGCTTTATAATAGGTACCACAAATCACTGCATGGGTTGATTAAATGGAGCCCAGATCCAGTCTAACCAAATGGAGTTTAATTTTCTTTTAATTAATATAGGTAAGCCCTCTGAATAGCCCAGTTCAGTATCTTTGAGTGAGGAGTCAGGAGTGACTTCTGGTGGTATTACTTAAACCCACTAAAATTAAGAACATCTGGGGCCCAGTTCTACCTTCACTGACTTCAGTGGAGTTTCCCTAGTATAAGAGAAGGCAAAATTGTGTCCCGAATGTATTGTTAGGTTGAGGCGTACTTGTTATTCTTTTTGCATGTTGTTGTTACACCAGGGATACGGGCCTCCTTGTATTGGGTATTGTACAAACACAGAAGAGAGACGGTCCCTGTCCTGGAGAGTTGATACAATCTGAAGATGTCTGATCCTGGTTCTCCCTTTGCATAGCGGACTAGTTAGTTTGATAGATTTCAAGGAGTATATCTTGAGCTGAGATAGCAATGCACAACTGAAACTTACTTGAAACTTCTCGAAGGAACCCAAGTTCCTTGAGTAGTTTAACTCAGTGAAGGAAGCTTTAGGTTCACACAAGAAAGGGCACAAGGAATGTCTTATGAAAGGGAAAACTTACAAGTTAAGCCAAGGTCCTACTACTAATTTAATATTCCCACGCATGGTGGAAGGGAGAAGAAAGATGTTAGAACCCTAAATACACTGCTTACCATTTATACACAATTCTTTTTTAAGAAAAAACTGTACCACTGTTGTTGTTTTTAAAGTACAACTGAATGGGTTTTTCTGTTTAACATTTTTGTGACACATGATCAAAAAGAGTGTTGCCCAATTAGGCCTTTGACAAAATTCCATTGTTTATACTAACACTGTCAGAATCCAGCCTCTCCATAGCAGAAACGTGCATGAAACAGGCAAAACACACACACACATCCCTCAGGGGAACCCCCACTAATCCCCACATTATGCCAATCTGCAAACTTCAAAATTTGTGCCAAAAAGGCAGTCTTTCCCCACTTCTCAGCAGCTAGTTTATAGCCAACAAGCTGTACTACAGGACATTATAGTGTTATGAGATATTGTCAGTTCTCAAGAGAGAAAATACATGTTGTGATAAACAATAAAAAAATATGACTAATATATGTTCATTTACTTTTGATTTGCCAGATGCATAATTTGCAGTGTCTCCCCCAGTTATTAGTGAGTTTCTTCTGTGCAACATGCCAGAACCCAGTTCAGATACTTAGGAATCTGTATACACTTTTTGTTAAACTACAGCCTTACCACCGTACAAGAAAAAGGAAAAAAGTGAAATAACTCCAGCAGTGCCATTCAGAAAAGAAAAATATACATCATACATTCCCAAAGCACAGAAAATGTGGACTCCAATATCCACCCACTTCCCCTCCAGAAACCCCACCTGGGAAACGAATGGAAAACTTACTTCAGCAGTCTCCCAGCTTTCCTCTCCCTTCTCCAAGCCCTAAGAGTCCTCCTTCCTCCTCTTCTGACCCCACAGTTCTAAAGCCCTTCCTCCACCCAACCTTGAGCCAATGTCAGTTGATGGGAAGAAGCTGTGAGGGCAGGATAGGGTGAAGAGAAAGCTGTGCAGTGATGCTCCTAGACCCCTGTATCCCCTTCTGCTTTTTAGTGCCTATGGTGAGAAAAGCACTTTCTGGTTGTTTTGGGGCTCAGATCCAGGGATTCTGTTTAAATTCAACCCTGCGAGGGCCCAGTGTTGAATTTCTCCATATTCAGATTGTATGCTCTTTGGGTTTGTACAGCACCTAGCGCAGTCGGGCCCCTTTCTTGGTTAGTCCTTAGGCAATACTATAATAAACAGGATTAATAGCAATGTATGAAAAATGTTCGTATTCCACTCTAAGGTCATGTTAAAGCTTCTTTAGCGTCAGAAATCAAGCTTAAATAGTAAAACATAGTATATGTTTGCAGATTTGAGCATGTATTTCCATTTGTCAGCTAGTAACTTTTAAACATCATAAAATTGTCGCTAATGGTGCTTTAAATGATCAGTTGCATGTAGCCACAAAAGAGTCAGCTCTTTCATTTTTATCTTGAAGTGTCTTTTGACAAGAGTTTTCTCCTTCCATTCAAACTTGAATTCAAACACAGCACTGGATAGGTTTAGATTAAAAGTAAAACAAGTTTCTTAACAAAAGGAGATAGGATTTTAAGTGAGTTCAAGTATGAGGGATAAAATTAGAAATGGTTACAAGCAAATAAAAGTGAAAATTGCTTTCTAGAGACCAAGACTTAACAAAACTACAGTCTTGCTTCAAGGTAAGATTTTTACCATACTACCTTCCAGCAAGAAGCTGGCCACCCTCTGGTCAGGAGCTCCCACAAAGTCCAGCATGCTCAGTTCCTTTGTCGTCTTAGATGAAAGACAACTTGGGATTCTTTGCCCCTCTCTTTTATGGTCCAGTGAACCTTTGAAATGGATTCGTCTGAAGGCAAGCCCCAGAGTAAAGTTAATTCAAGCTGTGAGGAAGTAAAACATGGACACTGCTGGTAAAAGAAATTCCATGCTGCTTTATTTCCCCCAGTGGTGTTTGCTGAAATGCAAATGAACTGCTGTTTGAAATGTGATTGCTAATTGACTCTGACACCTGGCTGGAGGTGTCCAGCCTGTCCTTTGACTGGGAGAAACCGGTTTACCTACTCTCCGAACTAGTCTAGTAAATGCAGTTCAGTTCCACATTTTCTTCATATTTTTATGAACCCTCAGACATTTACCATGCATACACCCACAAGAATATTAATGATCAGTGTGTTTTTAGTTTTCCAGTGATACCTTCCATGACACGTATCCAATACAGTGTAGGACATTAATGAATTGGGATGTATTGAACTGGTCAGGCCGGTTGAAACCAGTGAACATCTTGCATTAGGATGCTCTTAGCTTCACTCTGGGAATATGTGACCCTATCGCTTAACATAATGCCATTCATTCTGTTCATGGGAAATGTCACTGAAGGTAACTTTGAGTTAAGGAGCACATGTTAATTTCAAAAAGTTAGTGTCAAACTTGGTTGGCAATCTGATAGCATGGATAGCCACTGAGACAGCAGATTGATACTGAGGTATTATGAGGGGACACCTTTCAGAGGGATTTCAGTAGTCATCGTTCCATGTGTTTGTACAACTAAGATGGGACTATACTACAATCTATACTACAATCTTAATTACTGTGGTGGCTGAGGAGGCTGATGTGCGTGCACGCTACCCTCTTTCTGTCGGTGGTGCACATCCTCACAAGGAGTGCTTCCACCAACTGAAAAGGGGCAGTGTGGGGGGGCTGAGCGCCAGGGCTCAGTTGAAAAGTCCAGATGCCCCCCTGGACTTCTTGCCTTCCCACTCCCAGAGAGCCGCACCCAAAGTCTGGTCACTGCCGTGCTCCGGGAAGGGTAGCAGGGCTGGGAGTCGGTGGCAGCCCAGCTTTGAGCAGAGACCCAGCAGGAGCCCAGGTGGGGAGTCAGGAGCTGGCTTTCTTGTCAATTTCACGGCTCCAGTGGAGACTTGAAATTGACAAGAATGACAGCCAACAGCCGACGCGGTATCTACACAGAGGTTGTGTGTCCCTAACTACACCAACATAAGCCCTACGCCTCTTGTGGAGGTGAAGTTATGTCAGTGTAGTAGGGCACTTACACTGGCAGGAGCAAGGCTGCAGTGTATATACGGACATATTTAGGTTAATATAAGCGGCCTTATGTCAACCGAACTCTGTAATGTAGACCAAGCCTTAAAGAAAGCAAAGCTCAGGATCCTTTCTCCTCTAGACACACTGACATCCCCTCAGAAAATGTCTCTAAAAAGCAGTTTGTGTCAATAAGGGAAGTTAAATTTGAGCTGTATTTATTTTGAGTGGGCTTTCAATGTAGCTTAATCAGGATTATTCATTAATTTTCTGATGTTTAGTTAAATCTTCTCAGCCATATAGTCCATTTAGCTTTGCTGTGAATGCTAGCCATCTTAATTGTTAGATACTTTGTCAACATTTAATCAGTGGTACTTATTAATGTGGCATTGATGTGTTGGTAGCTATCCCACTACTATCAATCATGTGTGAACAGACAGAGAAGACTCTGACACCATTGCTCTCTGTCACATTATCAAGCCCTTGGGTTTTCTGGTTAGGCGTGATGCTCACTGTGCTGTAAATGGGTACTCTGTCTCTCCAGTTTAACCCAATTTTTGTCATGTTGACTTAAATACACATACTCTGAGCCTTTATTCCATAACTGTGCTGAATAAAGGTTGCCAGTTTCTGAAAGCAAAACTGATTTCCTCCTCTACGGTTTTTAAACCCCGTTTTTCCTAGTGTTAACCTCCTGATGAGTCAAAGAAAACTAATACTATGTACTGCAGCTTAAAGTCTAATATGAATTTCAAGCATATACAGATAAAATAAACTAATGACCCTCTGCTTTCTTGAGCTTCAGTAACTAAATGCATTGCGTAATGTGCAGTTGGTTGAAAGCCCATATGATAGTGTTGGTATCACAAATGTTTTTGTCTCATTTCTTTGCAGTCTCTATGGCAGACATATGCAGGCAAATCCCGAACCTCCAAAGAAGAACAATGATAAGTCAAAGAAGATCAGTCGTAAACCTCTGGCAGCGAAGAACAAATAAGTCACTAGCATGTGCCAGCGTTTTTAAGGCTTTTTTTCTTTTTTTTCCTGCATGTGCCTAAAATATTTCTAAATGTTTACTGAAGAAATGCTGTTACCCATTTTATAAAAAAGCAAAGACTCTCTTCAATCAACAGCAATCTGCCAAATGCACTGCTTTTAAGACCTTGCTTAAGGAATACAATATTATACATTCTCCTAATTACTACTAAAGCCATGTAGCCAATTAGTATATCACTATCAGACACCATTTTTAACTTTTATATTTATATGTATATGAAAAACAATGAAATATTTTCTGTTCACATATATCACATGTCCTGTTTTGCTTTATAATTTTTCCAGCACAAGTACGTAAATATAAAACGTATAATATTACATGTGATTTTAATAAAATCTTTATTTGTATTGTGTTGCATTCTTCAATAGAATTTAAAAAAATAAGGTAATGTTCTTGGTGAATATACAAAGCCTAGGTTCCTGTTACTTATTTTCATTTTTAGTTGTACTATGGCATTTTGTCTGATACAAGTTAGTTAAAATGTAAAGCCTTCTGTCTAAGAAGTGATATATTTTCATCAGTTTCATGTTTTTCTCATATCAGTGTGTCACACTTTTTTCCTTTGAAGATTGTTTTAAAATTGGGGAGAGGGGAGACAAAAAAACATTGTCTGTGAAGGGCTGCCAAACACTATATTTGGAAGAAAACGTTCTCATTTGAAGAAATTATTTCTCCAGTGGTTAGTTTAAATACATTTTTTTTTGGAGTTTTCGCTATAAAAAATTTTTTTTTAAATCTCTGCATTGAAATTACTTGGATTGAAGGACTGTTGTAAATAGCTTTTGAATATGTCATAGGAGTTATATTTATCTGTACAAAACCTGAACCACACCCAAGGCCAGAAGCTGCAGTTGTGCAGCGATTAAGCAACCCATTGTTTAATATCAGAAGTAGTGTGAGAACTCATTGAGGGGGGAAATAAACCTTACACACAGTGATTTCAAAATAACTTCTAGCACGGCAAAAGCTAAATGGAAGGTGCATGGAGAGGAACATATCTTGGTGTCAGGACCTTCCTTACCCCTAGATTTCCTCTCTCCTGAATTTCAGACCTAAGCAACCAATTGCAGCCTTTATGATGTCATCCAGGCAGCAAGCAGAAAATCATGCCCAGACTCCTGAGATGTGGGATTTGCTTTAAGTAAGAAAAGTAAACAGTTCAAATGTCTTACATTATAAATTATTTACTATATAAAACAGTCTATATCTGATCACTGCATTATCAACACCACTGTAATAAAGGCCTGTTCTTTGGCCTTTTGGGGAATAAATTTGGCACATTTTATTTACGAAAATCCATTCTTAACTGGTAAGTTTTGGGGGGTGAGAAGAGGAAGTTGCAGGGTGTGTGTGTGTACAGAACTTTTACCTTTTTGTCCCTTTCTCTCATAGACAGTTGTTAAAAAGTTTAGGCTCAAATTTTCATAGATTACAAGATCAGAACCCCATAGATGACAGGGAGCATTGTGGTCGTCTAATCTGACTACCTGGATAACACAGGCAATAGGACTTCCCAAAATTAAATTCTGTTTGAACTAGACAATATATTAGAAATATCCAATCTTGATTTAAAAATTGCCAGTGATGGAAAATCCACCACCCACTGTGGTAAATTGTTCCAATGGTTAGCTAACCTCTCTGTTAAAAAATGCCTTATCCCATGTGAATTTTCTATCTTCAGCTTTCAGCCATTAGCTCTGGTTAAAACTTTGTCTGCTAGATTGAGGAGACCACTTATCAGATTTCTCTTCTCCCGTCAGTACTGACAGAGTGTGGTTGTCACCCCATCAAATTTCTCTTTGGGAAGGTAAGCAGATTGAGCTCCATTGAGTCTTCCATGTGGAGTCTTACAAATGTGGATGCCAAAGTTCAGCACAGATTTCAGAGTAACAGCCGTGTTAGTCTGTATTCGCAAAAGGAAAAGGAGTACTTGTGGCACCTTAGAGACTAACCAGTTTATTTGAGCATAAGCTCATGCATCCGATGAAGTGAGCTGTAGCTCACGAAAGCTTATGCTCAAATAAATTGGTTAGTCTCTAAGGTGCCACAAGTACTCCTTTTCTTTTTGTGAAAGTTCAGCACCTAAATCCTCATTCAGGTGCCTACAAAGGTGGCCTGATTTTCAGGAACCTGAAAAATTCAGTGGGGCAGAAGGATGAGGAGAAACAGAGGATTTTGGTGGGGAAAAGGGGGAGTGAAGGGTCCAGGGATGAATGAATCTGCAAGTGTGAAGGGAGGGAAGAGTGAATGAAAGGAGTAGAGATTAGAAAGCTGGAGAGAAACCTGATGGGAAAAGTATTAAACTGAAGAGGGAGGCAGACTGGGAAAAGAGCTTTCTTGAAGACCAAGGAAAGATGAAAAAAATCTGAGAGTAAGTAAAGCTGAAATACAAAAAGCGTTACAAACAGAAAACAAGGCAGAAAAGGATGAAAATATGCCCAGAGATACACAGCGGAAGGAGGGAAACGGGGGAAGAAAAGAGAAATTAGAGAAGAGATAGTACAGTCATTCTTTTTATTTTTAAACGGTGCCAACATGTTAGAGCAAAATATACAATAGCTTGAATTTTAACTATGTCTAGATTGTGTATGTTCTATATTGTGGTTGCTAATTAAAGGTTTGCTTTATTTTACTAGGTTAAATTTATTGCACCATGTCATTCTAAGAACTGGAAAATACTGCATCTTGTTATAAAGTCAGGCAGGGATTCTCTTCTGTTTGTGCAGTGCCAAGCACAATGGGTCCTTTGCATGTTAGCAGAGTATAAATATTTGCTACTTAGAAGAAATGACTGTTTCTGTTTTAATAGCAATACCTGTCTATCCAGATGCTTGTCCTACTTTGCCACCACCCACTTGTTCTACCATCTGTTAACGTGGTCCAGGTGTGGGGCTGGTTGAGCTCAGGATGTGGCGGCTTGTGCCTAAGGAGCTCATTGTGGAAATGGAAAGAAGTTAAGAAGAGCTTCCCCCTGAACAATGTTTTCATTAGCAGATTTGTCATTGTTTGGGGCAATCTGAGTTTAGCTTCAAGGTTTTTTACCACTCTGTTGTTCAAGGCTCATCTTTAAGATTTCTGCTTTATGCCTTTGCACTTACCGGTATAGCACAGCCAAGTTGACTGGCCAGCCATCGGGAGATATTTGAGATCAACAATTATTTAAAGTGACTATGTCTAGTTTTTCAAATAATGTCCTGGAAACTGCTTTCAGGATGCCGAAAATGACTTTTGGCATCCACATTTTTGGGGAATAAACAAACTTGTGTTATAACCACAAAATGTCAAAGACATCTGCTTAGAGAGAGTAGAACCTGCTCTGGGTTTCCCAGGAGCAGACCAGTGGAACGAGAGGTGAGTGTGATGAATAGGTTTTGGAGTGAAGACCAAAGCCAAGGGTAGGCACTATCAAAGGTGTCATTTTGCTGAAAGGTTTCAGAGTAGCAGCCGTGTTAGTCTGTATTCGCAAAATGAAAAGGAGTACTTGTGGCACCTTAGAGACTAACCAGTTTATTTGAGCATAAGCTTTCATGAGCTACAGCTCACTTCATCGGATGCATTCAGTGGAAAATCCAGTGAAGAGATTTATATACACACAGAACATGAAACAATGGGTGTTATCATACACACTGTAAGGAGAGTGATCACTTAAGATGAGCTATTACCAGCAGGAGAGCCGGGGTGGGGCTGGGGAGAAAACCTTTTGTAGTGATAATCAAGGTGGGCAATTTAGACAGTCTCTATGCAAAAGAATAAATGGACACAAATCTGACATCAGGAATCATAACATTGAAAAACCGGTAGGAGAACACTTCAACCTCTCTGGCCACTCAGTAAAAGATTTAAGGGTGGCAATTTTGCAACAGAAAAGCTTCAAAAACAGACTCCAAGGAGAAAGTGCTGAGCTTGAATTAATACGCAAACTAGATACCATTAACTTGGGTTTGAATAGAGACTGGGAGTGGCTGGGTCATTACACATATTGAATCTATTTCCTTAAGTATCCTCACACCTTCTTGTCAGCTGTCTAAATGGGCCATCTTGATTATCACTACTAAAGTTTTTTTTCTCCTGCTGATAATAGCTCATCTTAACTAATTAGCCTCTCACAGTTTGTATGGTGACTTCCAACTTATCTGTATCTGTGTGTTTGTGTGTGTGTGTATATATATAAATATATAATATCTTACTATATGTTCCATTCAGTGCATCCGATGAAGTGGGCTGTAGCTCACAAAAGCTTATGCTCTAATAAATGTGTTCGTCTCTGAGGTGCCACAAGTCCTCCTGTTCGTTTTGCGGATACAGACTAACACGGCTGCTACTCTGAAACCTGTGCTTCTGATGTTGAAGTACTAAAAAAAGTCCTCCCCTCAGAGAAATTGGCCTTTAGAATCATAGGTCATGGAGTCCAGTCACCTGCACTGGGGCAGGACTAAGGGTTATCTAGACCATCCTTGACAGGTGTTTGCCTAACCTGTTCTCAAAAACCTCCAGGGATGGAGATTCCACACATTTCCCTAGTTAATTTGTTCCAGTGCTTCGCTAGCCTTACAGTTAGGGAGTTTTTCCCAGTGTCTAACTTAAATTTCCATTGCAGCAATTTAAGCCCATTACTTCTTGTCCTGTCCTTAGTGGATAAGGAGAGCAATTTATCACTCTTCTCTTTATAACAACATTTTTCATACGTGAAAACTGTTATCATGTCCCCTCTTCAGGCTTCTCTTCTCCAAACTAAACAAGCACCATTTTTTCAGTCTTTCCCTGTATGTCATGTGTTCTAGACCTTTAATCATTTTTGTTGTCCTTTCTCTGGATTTACTCCAACCTTTCCCATAGTGTGGTACCCAGTGTAATGTTACCCTCCATATTCTTTATGAAAATATGCTTCTGATATGGATGTGACATAACTGAGATGTACTTTCTGCAAGATGGCTCATGTAAGATATGATTTACTGAATGTATGCATGTATCATTTTGGAATCTGAAGTTAGGAATATAGAGCATGTATCTGTATTTCAAAGGGCATGTCTTCACTAGCACTGTTAACGTGGCTGTGTAGTCGCACAGAGGGCTCTCCCAGCGCTATAAAAAACCCCACCCCCATGAGGGAAATAACTCCCAGCGCTGGGAGTGCTGTCTACGCTGGCATTTTGCAGCGCTTGGGGGGGGGGGGGGTGTTTTTTCACACCCCTGAGCGAGAAAGTTGCAGTGCTGTAAAGTGCCAATGTAGACCAGCCCAAATGTGCTACTTTGGGTGTCACCCACAACTAGTCCTTCAGATACAACAATGGAAAAAGCCAGACAGGGCTGATGGCCCATTAGCAAAGACAATGGATGTGAAAGGCCT